TCAGAATTCATAGTCAAAGTCTGGATCTTAACTGTTGCATCTGTATTGTAAACCAAAAACTACACCAAAGCCACTGTCATTGAGTCAATTCTGACTCCAGCAACTCTATATAGGGTTTCTAAGACTGTAAATCTTTATAGGATCCGATTGCCTCACTCCCACTGAGGGGCTGGTGGATTTGAACCATCAACCTTGAGATTAGCAATTCAAGGTTTACCCAACAACACCACTAGGATTCCTATCTATAAGATACCAACTGAAAAAAACAAACACGTTGCCACGGAGTTGATTTCAACTCATAGTGATCCTGTAGGGCACAGAAGAACTGTTGCTTAGTGTTACTCAGACTTGAAATGTTTATGAACCAGACAGCCTCATCTTTCTGCTACAGAGTGGCTGATGGGTTCGAACCTCTGACCTTGAAGTTAGCAGTTCAGCGTGAAGCACACTGTGCTACCAGCTCTACTATGTATAGAAGTGTTAATACCCTCTGTCCTAATAAAGATGCTGTGGAAATTATTTTTAATCATAGAGCTCAAATTATCCTCTTAAAGAACAGGGAGTCTAATTTACATCATGTAATTGATGAGGGAACTGAGGCTCACAGTGGTGAACTGATTTACTAGCTCAGAATTAGGATCTGAATTCTTGTTCAAGGACTCTCAATCCAATGTTTTATACTATGCTACCTTTCTCTGGATGGGATATTGAAAATAAATAACAGATCTGGCTCATATTCTTACAGGATCTATGGAAGGAAAGACTATAGATATGTTGCCTACCACTGCTTCTTTTGCCTTTTCAATTTTGCTTTTCAACTTATTGTCATTTATCATGAGATGTTTTCCACAACTCAATTGCTGTAGTAAGATGTATGATTTCAGGTGAGCATTAACTATAAAGGTGGCCAGTTAGGGAGTCAACATTTTCATTTCACAATGCAACTCACTGCTACCAATTGTTTTCTTACTCATGGTGACTTTATAGGAGAGGGTAGAATTGTCCCTGTAGGTTTCTGAGGTCGCAACTCTATGGGAGGAGAAAGCCTTGCATTTCTCCCACTGAGGGTCTGGTGGTTTTGAACTGCTGACTTTATGGGTAGCAGTACAGTGCACAACCACTATGGCACCAGGGCTCTGACTCCTAAAGCTAAAGAAACTTTAATTTACCTATATTTAGATAATAACCATGTACAACTGTACCATATTGCATATACTCAAAAATATCGATATATTTATCATTCAATTTGAGTATGAGATTTTTCATTATTGTGACTTAAATGTAGTTACAATATTATACTTTAATATATCTAGTAATGAAGTCTATTGTTGGTATTCTACTTACCAAATATTTTTTGGACATATCACAGTGTTTATCACACCAAATTTACTAGCTATATTTGATATACTACAAACATTCTCCTTTTAGATATACAGTTCTATGAGTTTTGGCAAGAAGAGACAATTGTGTAACCATCACCATAATCAATATATAGATTATTTCCATCATTACCAAGAGTTTCCTCATGTGCTTTTGTAGTCAATCCTTTAATCTCTCCCCAAGCCCCTATTAAGCACTAATCTGATTTCTGTCCTTATAGTTTTCTCGGCCCCAGAAAGTTATATAAGTAAAATCATACAATATATATTCTTGGAATTCGATTTCTTTCATTTAGCTTATCACTTCTGAGATTCATCCACATGGTAACATGCACCAGGGCTTCCATGGTCACTGCTTTTCATTGTTGAGTAGTACCCATTGTATGGCTAAACCAACTCGTCCTTTCTAGTTTGGGACAATTATAAATAAAGCTACTATAAATAGCATCTATTTAAGGAGCCCTGGTGGAGTAGTGAGTTAGATGTTGGGCTGCTAATCGAGTGAGCGTTTAAATCAACAGCTGCTCCACAGGAGAAAGATGAGGCGCTTTGCTCCTGCAATGATTACTGACTCAGAACCCCATGCAGCAGCTGTACTCTGTCCCATACGGTCACTGTGACTCAAACCCAACTCATGGCGGTGAGTCTGGCTAGGATCATGTTTTCATTTTTTTTGGATAAATGCCTTGGAAGTGAGATTACTGGGTTATAAGGAAATACAATTTTATGAAGTTTCTTAAAAATAGCAGGCAAACTATTTTTCCCCCTGGCTGTACTTGTCATAATACCACTAACAATGTATAAAATTCCAGTGACTCCTCTTCTTGATATTTGGTATTGTAAATTTATTTAATTTAAACCATTCTGATATGTGTGATTGTATCTTGCTAGGGTTACATCTGCATCTTTTAATGTCTAATGATGTTGAATCTCATTTTACGTGTTCATTTTCATTCATATTTCTTCGCGTTTGTTCCAGTTTTACCCATTTATTATTGTGCTTTAAGAGCTATTTATATAGTCTGTCTATAAGTCCTTTAACAGATATGTATTTCATGAACATTTCCTCACAGTCTTTTTGCCTTCTTATTAGTACAACTATAATTTGAAGAGAAGTTTTAAATTTTGAAATACATATATATATAAAACTTTTCTGGGTTGTGTTTATTTTAATTTCCTGTGTAACTAATCTTTGAGTAAACAAAACCATGTGAGTATTCTGTTATGCCTTTCTCTGGACATCGCTAGTTTTATGTTTTTACTTACATATATTATCCATCTATTATTCATTATTAAGTTTATATTTTATGCAAGGTAGGTCTCAAAGCTAATTTTGTTTTGTCTTAAACATGGATATAAAATTGTTCTAGTGTAACTTGTTGCAAAGAAAAGTCTTTTTCCATTGGCTGTCTCGGTAACTTTACTGAAAATCAGCTGACCTTGTAGGTGTGGTTCTACTTCTGGACTTGATTCTATTCCCTGGGCTGCTGTCTACTCCTTCATCCGTGATACCACAGTCTGGATTACTATGGTTTGCGTAGTTGTGTGCTGAAATCAGGAAGTGTGAATCTTCCATCTTAGCCCTTTCTTCAAAAGATGTATTTGCCATTCTGGAGGTTTTTTCTCTATATATATATTTAAGAATCAGCTTGTCAATTTCTAAAAAAGAAAAACTGGCAGGGATTGTGATTGAATTGTACTGGATATGGTCAATTTGGAGAGAATTGACATCTTGACAATAGTGAGACTTTCAAAGAATAAACATTGAATTGTCTGTTTAGGGACATTTTAATTCTTGGATATGTCTTTAGAAAGATTAGGTCCCTTTTTTTTTTTTCATTCATTGGGCCTCTAATTTAAAATGATGTTTAATACAAATTTTCAAATTATGATAAATATGTATTTTATTTTCAATGACTGTAATTTCTATTATGTTTGTGATATAGAACTATTCCAGTCTTTCTTGAGAAAAAAAAAGTTAATCCTGTGAAGTCTTTGAAAAATGGCTCTGGCAGTCAGGGTGCAGTATAGCACCACTGAAATGTTCAAATTACCTCTTGTTCTTTAATGCTTCGCCCCAGCCCTCCTCACTATCATGACCCCAATTCTACCTTACAAATCTGGCTAGACCAGAACATATACATGGGTACAGATAAGAGCTGGAAACACAGGGAATCCAGAACAGATAACCCCTCAGGACCAATAGTTAGAGTAGCAATACCAGGAGGGTAAGAAGAAGGTGAGGAGAAAAGGGGAACTAATCACAATGATCTACATATAGCCCCCTCCCACGGGGGAGGACAACAGAAAAGTGGGTGAAGGGAGACATCAGACAATGTAAGACATGAAAAAATGATAATGATTTATAAATTATCAAGGGTTCGTGAGGGAAGGAGGATGGGGAAGGAGGGGAAAAAATGAGCAGCTGATACCAAGGGCTCAAGTAAAAAGAAAATGTTTTGAGAATGAGGATGGCAACAAATGTACAAATGTGCTTGACACAATGGATGAATGTATGGATTGTGATAAGAGTTGTACGAGCCCCCAATAAAATGATTTAAAAAACAAAAAAGATATGTAGCATATGAAATACAGCCTTCACTGTTCATTGCCTTATATTATCATTGGGTTTTATAGATACTATAAAATTATTATTTTATATTTCTATTATTTTATTTATACATTCAAAACTTTCATTAAAATATTGATGTCTTTCTTTTTCTTGTTATCTTTTTAGCAGGATGATTATGCTGGCCAGATAAACAGTTTATACAGTTTCCCTCTTCCATGTTCTGAGAAAGTAAATATTGTATAATCACTGCCATTCAGTTGATTCTGACTCATAGGGACCCTATATAGAGTTTCTGAGACTGTATATCTTTACAGGAGCAGACAGCATCATCTGTCTCTGTGGAGGGGCTAATAGGTTTGAACCACTAACCTTGTGCTTAGTAGCCCAGGCCTAATCCACAGCACCATCTGGGATCCTTTATATTGTATACTATCTCCCCCCCCACCCCAAGCAGTGGTTCTCAACCTGTGGGTTGCGACCCCTTTGTGGGTCGAATGACCCTTTCACAGGGGGTTGCCTGATTCATAACAGTAGCAAATTACAGTTATGAAGTACAACAAAAATCATTTTATGGTTGGGGTGGGTTTACCACAACATGAATTGTATTAAAGGGTCGCGGACTAGGAGGTTGAGAACCACTGCTCCAAGGTGTTTAACACGATTTGGTCTGTACATGTAAGCTATTTGCCATCAAGAGTAATAACAATGGTTCCCCACACATGCACCCAGTGTTCACTGAATCTTTATTATTTTTCTCATAATTTTCATTGCCTTTTTAAAGTTTAAAAACATTTCTTGCTATTTAAGTATTTTTGATAAGTAAATATAATTGGTAAGACTGAGTGTAAATGGTAGGTTTGACTAATTATATTGAGAACTCCTTATTTTAATATTGATCATTTACTCTATTGCTCACGTTTCTAGTATGAAACCCCAATCTCTTGGAATAGCTGCTAGAAAGTGCATCAATATGAAGACATGTGCATATTCAGACCAATCAGACTTCCAGCTGGACGGACGCGAGAGAGCAATGAAAGGGCGATACTCACATCAGAGTTAAAGCGAAGCTGACAGACATTACACGAAATAACTTGCTTCTTCTTTGGGGGAATGGACACTCCAAATGTGTGATTTATGACTGCTTTTTGCACAGGATCCATCTGAGAAGCAAATGATAAAATAATTCATTTATAACTATGGACAGACAATTATGTGTGCTAATACACAATAGCAATGTTATTCTTTATTGTTTTAATTCCCAATGGATGAAAATAACAAATTCTACTCAATAGGAATGTGCTTGTTTTCTTTCCAGGAATTAAAAACAAAAAAAAAAACAAACCCCAAACTGGTCAGAAATCATGAAACAAACAAAAAAGAAAGAAAAATGCAGGAGGACCTGCACACACCAAGAGAGCACACATCTCACGAGGAGCCCTGAGTGAAACCAAAACAAGCCATCGAACAAGAAAATTTAAGATCCAGAGATCAAAGTGATTATCAACTGGTTAATATTTTTCTCCTGAGGGGGTAACACCTAAGAAGGTCTCAATTGATTGATTACAGATTTCTTTTTTTTTAACATTTTATTAGGGGCTCATACAACTGTTATCCCAATCCATACACACATCAATTGTTGATTACAGATTTTAAACACCTGTTTAAACTTCTTCATTTCTGATACATGGCAAAGTCATAAATGAGAGGCCCACCGTACAACACACAGACTGTAACTCACTACGTTAAAATACGTTGTTTTTCACATACTACAGATGGAATTCATTATCCAGAAAATATATGTTACAATTGCACACGAGACTACCCACAGCACATTGGTTAGTCTGCATCCCTTGATCAAGGGATCGATCAAGTCCCGTCTTGACTGGCAACCCGTGCTTCCTCCTACGCTGCCCCATTGGTTCACATAATCAGAGAAATATACAGTGATAAAAACACTCAACCATAAAAGAGCAGGGCATAAAGCCATTAAAATGCTAAGAAAAAGAAAGACTCCTATCTGCCAAGTCAATGAAAAGAAACACAGCAGTGATTCTCACGTGTACGCCAGATAATAATCTCCAGCATTACCATCAGACAACTGGCAGTGCAAACACAATGTAGATGATGGACCAAGGGTTACTCATAAACAGATGGAACATGCACATGGGCAGATTCGCTAACACCTTCCTCTAGGAAATCTCCTGAGGTTAGAGCTGAGGATAGGATTAGCTGACATTAGCTGGAGATGAGAAAAGAAAACAAGCCTAATCATGATTATAAACCAACTAAGTGCAAAATGAGCAATGAGAACTTGGAAACATTAGAAAAGACTGTGGATTGAAGAATACCGACTATTAGAAGAGCTCTAGCAGTGCAGGGGGGGGCGGGGGGGAGCGTCAGACTGCTACCTGCAAGGTTAGACGTTTGAACCCACCAGCCACTCCTCCCAGGAAAGATGAGTCCGTCTGCCTCCCTAAAGATTTACGGCCTCAATAATTCGGTGGTTATTCGGTACGAGTTGGAATAGACAGCAGCAGTGGCTTGACAGTCTATTTTCTGCAACAAGTTTACGAGGCAGTCTATTCTTACTATAAAGAACAGTTATGGGTTTTTAGGACTAGTAAAATAAGAATGGAAAGATGCTAGGAGGGGAGCCTCATAGAGTGATAGAACTATTGTATATCCTTACTGTGGTGGTGATTGGATAATTCAGCTGACAGTCATAAGGTGAGCAGTTTGAGCCCACCAGTTACTCTGGGAGAAAGAAGTGCCTGTCTGATCCCGTAAAGACTTAAAAGTTTCTGAAACCCAAAGAGGCAGTTAGTTCTCTTCTGTTGAATAGGGTCACGATGAGTCAGAATTAACTTGATGGCAGTGGATTTGGTTTGGGGTTTAATATACATTATGCTTCATAGAATTTTATGCACCCAACACATGTCAATTTTATGTATGACCATTTAAAAAGTGAAAGAGGACAAATATTGTAGGAGTACTAGGTTTAACTACTAAATGTAACACATTATTACTGGAACATCTGGGGATTCATTTTATTTAAGGGCCATTAATTGTTTATACTAAATCTTCTTAAGCAACAAAAAACCTTTACCCTATGGTAAAGGGAATATAAAAGTTCAAGCTGTAAAGCCTGAATTGCTTTTTCATTTTCTTCACAATTATATACACTTCGATATATGCATTTTCTACTAGTAATATAGAGCTATACTTTCTGACAGTCAAGAGAGAGCAAGTCAGTTGGAACACCCTTAAGAATAAAATAGCCCAGATATAATGGCAGGGTGAAAAAAAAGCCACATGATTTTTCCAGTTAAAACATGGTTTTCAAGTTTTCTTTTCCCTAGGTCTGAAAAAGACTGTACATCTGGTGGTGTGTGAACTACACTGGTTGGAACTACATGAATATTTCCCAAATAGCAGTTTGCCATCATATACATGACTATATTTTTATGACAAACTTAATATTTTTGTGTTTTAACCAAATTAAATTAAACCTTTTAAAAATTTAAGTAGTATTATTTATGAAATCAGTTTTAATTTACTACTTATTTTCTCTCTTATTACTAATTTCAAAATTGTTAAAAATAACAGCCTATCTCACGTAGAAGGAATGTACATATTCTGATTATTCCTAGAGCACTCTGTGGAAATATTGAGGCAAAAGAAAAATCTGACAAAAAACAAAACAAAACAAAACAACCTTGTGCTAAGTTTTCATCAACCCAAGATACTTGTTGACAGTCCCACTATCCTTGAATATAAATGTTCCTTTTTAAAAAACATCTTTAGGTGCTTACACAATTTTTCAACTTTATTTTGTTCACATGTCACATGCCTACCACATGTGCTTGGAAATATCCCCACCAAGTTCCCAAGGTTGGGAGCTCTCTGTCTGAGCACGGAGGCTCAGCGCTCCAAAAGTAAAGACAGGCAAATGCCCAGCATTCCTCGCTGAAAAGCAACCTAGTGACTTGCATTTAGGAATTCTCGTAGACATTGGCTCTGTTAGTTTATGTTCCTCATCCTAATGGTCCTTCTAAAATTAACCAAAGCAGTAGAGCCCTTTACCCTTCCTTGTCACCTGTCACTTACTCTTGTTGCCTTCCCACTCTGTAAACTATTTACCATTAATCATATAATAAAATTATCCGCAAAATTTCCCACTTTGGAAGAGTAAATCTTTTTGCCTAATCTTTGACCTGCTTACTACTAATCATATGTTCTCCTTTGTGTTTCCCACTTGGAACAGATGCTATTTTCCACCTGATTCTCTACTTCCTTTTAGATATTCTGGGGAGAGAGCCACTGTTTTCCTTTAGGTCTAGATGCCTTGTATCTTCCTCTGTTGTTGACCATGGTATTCTGGAATTATCATTCTTACTTAAAAATTATTTTGATATTTGAAATAGGATTATAATGGTATAGGAAGAAAGTTCTATTTCCCTATGCATTTGATACCTAGAAACAATCATGGTTTAGCTGATTTTTTTTTTTAGCATTTGTCATCTGACAAAATAACTACAAATAAGAGTTGCTTAATGGGCTACAGACTTGGATTGAGAAAGTATACAGATGTATATGCGTGTGTATGTATGTACATATATATTTGTGTGTGTGTGTTGGATACCACCATTGGATATACACTGTGTGTATATGTATCATGGACATCACTCATCTGTCAATTTGTTATGCTATATTGGCTTACTTGTTGCTGCGATATAGGAAGCTATGCCACTGGTACTTCAAATGCAAGTCGGATGAACAGGTTTCAGCAGAGTTTCCATATTAAGTTCAGATTAGGAAGAAGGAATAGGCTGTCCACCTCGGAGGGATTTGTCATGAAAACCCTTCTGAACAGCAGTGTAACATTGTCATCTATAGTGGCAGAAGATGAGCCCCACAGGTTGGAAGGTGCTCAAAATATGAGCTTCCACCTCAAAGTAGAGGAGAGCTCAACGATGTGGATAAAATAAAGCTTTAGGGACTGTCACCAGCTGATGGGCCATGCCTTAAAGAAATAGCTTCAAACATCCATTAGCAGCTGGAATGATGTATGACTAGGAAAATTGGAGTCATCAAAATGAAACTAAATGCATAAATCTTGATACCCTCGGCATTAGTGAGCTGAAATCTACTGGTATTGGTCATTGAGAATCAAGCAATAATATCGTTTACTATGCTGGGAATGGCAAGAGGAATATTCAAGAGGAATGGCACTGCATTCATCATCAAAAAGAACATTTCAGGATCTATCTTGAAGTACTGTCTGTGATAGAATAATATTTATATGTCTACAACTCAACACAACAATGATTAAAGTTTATGTAACAACCACTATAGTCAGTGATGAAGAACTTGAAGAATTCTACCAACATTTTAGTGTAAAATTGATCAAACAAAAATCAAAATGCATTAGTCATTATTGGTGACTGGACGATAAAAATGAAAGAATAGTAGTTGGGCGATACAAACAAATCTGGAGAAAACGTGGTAGAATTTTGCAATAGCCATGACTTCTTTATTGCAAATCCCTTTTCAACAACGTAAATGGTGACTGCCATTCCAGACGGAGTCCACAGGAATCATAATGACTATCTCTGTGGGAAGAGACGATGGCCAAGCTCCATATCATCAGCCCAAACAAAGTCTCATATTCACAGTTATTATGAAAGTTTAAGCTGTCATGGAAGAAAATTGACATGAGAGCAAATTAAGTTCATAAGAGCAAAACTATGACCTTGAGTATATATCATCTAAATTTAGAGAACATCTCCAGGACAGATTTGATGCACTGAACACTAATTACAGAATGTCTGAGAATTGTGCAGTCATGTCAGGAAACTCATACACACAAAAAGCAAATTGTCATTAAAAAAGACACAAAAGAAAAAAAGACCGAAGTGGAGATGCGAGAAGCCTCTTGAATGTAGAGCAGCTAAAAGTGAATGAAAGAAATGATGAAGCCAAAGAACTGTAGAGAACACCTGAAAGGACAGCTTGAGATGAAAAGAACTATAATGAAATTTGCAAAGACGTGCAGTTGAAAGCCAAAAAGGAAGAACATGCTTACCATATCAACCTGAAAGAAATGACTAAAAACTCAAGCTCCCCAAGCTGTAATTTTGAAGAATCCCATGAGCACCATATTGAAGGATTCAAGAAGCATCCAAAAAAGATGGAATGAATACACAGTCACTGGACCAAAATGAATTGGTCGACTTCAACCATTTCAAGAGGCTGTATGATCAAAAACCAGTAACAGCACTGAAGGAAGATGTCCAACCTGCAGAGAAGGCAGTAGGGGAATTGATGGAATACTAATTGAAATGTGTTATAAAGCTCTCATCATGCTTATTCAATCTGTATGCTGAGCAAATAATCTGAGAATTTGGACTGTATGAAGAAGAAGATGGCATCAGGATTGAAGGAAGGTTTATTAGCAACCTACCAAATGAAGACAAAACAATTTTGCTTGCTGAAATCAAGGAGAACTTGAAGTGCTTGCTGATAAATATCAAAGACTATAGGTATCAGTACGGATGCCTATCGTATGGATGCAGCTATTGGGTATTGGGTAAAAAATACCCAGATCATCACACTGGACCACCAGACAACATCATAGTAAATGGAAAAAAATATTGACGTTGTCATGGATTTCCACAATCAGTAGTCAAGGAAGCAGCAGTCATGGATTCAAATATGTGGCACAAGACCTTTCTAAAGGGTGACAGAGCAAAAAATGCCCCTTTGAGGGATAAGGGGGGCCTGATCCAAGCCATGGTATTTTCAGTTGCTTCATAGACATGTGAAAGCTAGACAATGAGTAAGGACAACTGAGAAAAATTTATTACATTTGAATTTTGGCAAAGAACCTTAAATAGCCCATGGAATGCCAGAAGAATGAACATAGCTGTTTGGGAAAAGTACAGCCAGAATATTCTTTTGAAGAGAGATTAGTGAGATTAGTGAGACGTCACGTGATCAGGAGACGGATTGACACAGTGGCTACAACAATGCACTCAAAGTAATTATTGGGAAGCTGGGGCAGAACCAGGCAGAACTTCGCTCTGTTGTACATAGGGTCGCTGTGAGCGGGGACAGATTCGATTGCACCTAACAACAATACAACAACATAGAGAAGATATATATGTATATAACACGTATATATATGTGCTTATCCTTAATATATAACATATATGTAATACTTATACATATTTATCCATGCATATATGTATGTAGGAAGTGGAAAAATCTTGAATGTTTGTTCTTACCTATCTTACAGTACTTTAAAAGTTGGATAAAAATGTTACCTATAATGTTAACCAAATAAAACTCACTGCAATTAAGTTGATTCCGGTTCTTAGAGACCCTGTAGAACAGGGTAGAATTTCCCCTGGTTTCTGAGACTAATTTTTTTCGTAATCTTTATTTTGTGATTAATTTTGTAATCTGTCTGGGAGTAGAAATCTCGTCTTTCTCCCAAGGAGTTGTGCTTGTGGTTTCAAACTGCTCACCTTGTGGTCAGCAGCCCAACACATAACCATTACTTGGTAACCATTACATTACCAAGACTCCTTAAAGTTACATTAATTTGAATATTTTTCCTCTACTAATGCAATATCAGTTCTCTGGAATCATAATGTGGTGTGTATTATGAAGTCAATGGTAATTCTGCATTTAATTACCAATTTTCATGATGAATAAAATAGTATGAATAAAAATATTCTTAAAATTTCTAAAATGTGATTAAATGCAAGTGATTCTATTTAGCATCATAGAAAATATGCATCTATATCATAATAATTTGATATGTAGAATACGGGATAAATGAATGGAGGTATTTCAATTTCACCACAAACTCTTTTTCAAATATTCAATTGGCATTTCATAGACATTTGAAAGTGTTTTTAGAAATCATCATTATCATTTTTATATTATATAACTTTTCATTGAAAAAAAAGCCTCATTACATAGTCACATCGAATTAGCTCACTAGCTCACACTGTGTAAGAAAGCGGGCTGTGATTTGAGAGTCATGGGACTGACTGGTTTGGACACACCACCTCCAGGAGCTTTTACAATGTAAAGCAAACACTACTGCCACGCAGCTCTCGCCACTGACATCCTTACCTGGCAGAATTTATTGGTCCCAAATAAGCCTCTTCTTTTCTAAAAAAGTAAAAGTTAGAAGTAGTCATCTGGAATTTTGTGTCTAGAAAGCACATTTACATGAAACTTATTTTTCAAATCCATTCTCTTTGCTAATCTCCAAGCAGAAACCTTGAAATGCTTACTAACTAAAAAGCAGCAAGTGGTAACACTTGCCACTTTTCTACTGAAAATCATGTAGAAATGAAAGGAAAGACTGTTAGTGTAATTAACTGGTAGGTAATAAAAATGAAAGATGGGGTTGCAGTTATTATTAGGAATCGAGAAGGTAATTGGAGGCTGTGTATGGACAAATTAACTATGATGCAATGGTACTTGTAAAATGAATTAATGGGGCCACTGGCCCTATCATGCCATCTATCCATTTTTCAATATCAATATAAAAGCACATAGATTTCTTTGGTGCATTCACCAAAATTATGGCAACTACAATATGTGTGGATTGTTCTAGAGATCATTACTTTCAGGGAGTATACCAAACTGTAATTTCCATCTGCACAGGGTAAACAATCATGTAAAAATGTGCAGGTGCATATAAAACCTAGCCACAGGGAAAAGCAGCATGCTGCATTCCTTCACAAAAGGTAGGGTGGATGTGATCGGAGAGGAGACTATGGAAGGTACATGAACTTCCTGACCAGTGACTCGACCTGACACTAGATGATCCCTAGATTCTAAATAATTCTGCGAATTGGAACTACAGGCAGGGAAAATAGAATCACAATATTTTCAAGTATACAGATTATTTTCAAGAGGCCAGAAATTTCAGTTGTCTCCTCATCTGAGCTGTAAAATGATTTAGCTAGCTATCAAGAGATGCTGGGGGTGAGTCACAAGTAACATCCAATTAAAAAGCAAAAAGGACCTCTCAAAAATTCTATAGAAGGAGGCACGGGGTAGTGAGTCTTCACTCCGGGTACTTGTATGTGGGTGTATCTGCATGTGGGCGGACCCCTCTGGAGATGGATGAGGAGCAGGATCTCAGTTCCTAAGACCTTCAGAAATATGTGTTTTCCGATGGTGTCAGGAGACCCCTGTGAAAGAGTCATTCGACCCCTAAAGGGGTCATGACCCACAGGTTGAGAACCGCTGGTGTAGAGGATGGGCATCATGTGTGGTGCTGCTGTAGGGTATGGAGGAGACAAGAAAGGGCAAGTCTGTTCCTAGAACATTTGCAACAGAGAGGGCAGATGAATTTTCAACTCTGAAAACAAAGAAAATAAAACCCCAAACTCACTGCCATTGAGTCAGTTCTGAGTCACAGTGATCCTACAGGGCAGACCAGAACAGCCCCCGTGGCTTTCAGAGACTGTCACTCTTCAAGGGAGTAGGACGCCATTTTTCTTGGCAGAGGGTTTCCAACTGCTGCTCACTGTTAGCAGCCTGACACATAATCGCTACACCGCCAGGGTCCCTAAACTAAAGTCAACTTGCTCCTTAAGTAAAAGTTTCCTAGATAAATGTCCCCATTTTTTGCCTATTTATATTATTCTTACAATAACACCACTTCTTTAAGGTCTGGATAAAAACTTGCCTTATTCTCCTTACTTTCTCCATTGGAAATAGAAAGAAAGAAATGTAAGGGAAAAGAACCCACAAATACTTAGAGATTATAGTTCAGCAAGCAACAGTTATTATTAGCACCTGTTCTAGATTTACTGCAAAACAGACCCTGGCAACAAACTCCTGGTGACTTAGGGCTTTCTGGGAGTTTGGTATATCATCAACTTTTAAGCTGTTTTTGATCAAATTACAGTAGCACATCAAAAAACAGGGCTATATATCTTATTTCTTCTTTTCTCCAATTCCACCTGTATGAGAGGATGTGATCCCAGGGCCCCAAGAGAACTTCAAAGATTCACAAACTGACAGGTGCATTATTGAAGAGCAATATTTCTTTAAATTTACTTCAAAAATCCTTGTCTTTTATTTTTAAATATTATTATCACATGCCTATATGTTATGGTTTTGCTTCCTTCAAATCCTTGAAAATTTAAATAGAAAGAAAACAGGAACAACTATTAAAAACATAAATTCTTCTCCCAAAGTTCAAGAAACACAAACCATCCCATATCATTGGCGAATTTACTTCTGTCATGCTAGAGCTTTTTATTGTTTGGGATATCAAATCAGATGGCTCAATAGAAGTAAACCATTTACACCGTTACACTGGGATGGTGCACTACCATGAGGTCTGTACTTTTTTCCTCTGGAATGCATTAAATTGGAGACTTGCCTTGACCACACTGCTTTATCCTACCTAGAGCACCCTGACATGGTGTGCTGGGATCCATCCTTGCTGCTGAAAGGGAAACAAATGCCCCCTCTCCACAGACTAGTGACTGAGTCAACCCTCTGAAAGGGTGCTTCCTTAAGAATTCCCAGTTACTTCTCTGCTGACACAACACACTGACAGTACCTTACAAACATCAATGGAATCTCTCTTCCACTGGGATGCCATTACCCCACCAAAAAGTTATCCACTCATTCAGAATTGGTTCATATAAGGTGAAAGAAACACAATGCCTATTTCAAAAAATAACAGACCAGTCACATTAAGGCCAAGACTAAATAAAGCTATTATTATTTTATCAACATGTTGGAGGCTGCTAAGTGTTTTGAGAGTGGTTGACGTTTGGCAGTATGCAATTGCTACAGCAATTAAGTGGAAACTAGGATTTCACTTTTCCCCGCTATTCCAGAATCCCTTTAATAGGATTCAGTATTCCTTATCGAAAATACAAGTGAAGTTGGCCCAGAGAGAGGCAACCAATCAGAGGAAAGCACTTCACCTTCATGAACTTTCAAAGGGTGTGAGGAATAGCTTCTCAAGAAGACACACTGGGGCTCTTTATTGTAGCTATGAGGGCTTAAAAAATTGATGCTGGTGGAATAATTTATCCCCCCTTTTTCCCTCCTAGGAATAAGGTACAACACATTTCGTCTTATGTCTGTGTATAATTATTACATTTAAATACACCGATAAAGCTTGATACCTTCTGCTCAAATTATAGATTTCCCAGGCCCTTTTTGAAAAGCTCTGAGATTTATCACACAAAATATGATAGATTCCGTTGACAAAGAAAATGACTAGCTTAAGAAAAAAGCCTTCCATGATCTGTTTAGAAAGGAAAACTAAGGTCTACATTTTCTAGTAGTTTTTCTGGAGAAATTCCATCTATGTTCTATTTTTTTTGCAAGAAAAAAACTTTAGAAATATACAAGATGTTAAGATTTTATGTTTCTGCCACAAAATAATGTCGTTTTTTTCTAGATGACTTTAAAAGGTAGAGATTTATATCAACTGAAATACACAGTTTTGTCCTTTGGAATTTTTGCTAATTTCCAACCAATCACTTTCATAAATGTTATTTTGATGAATACAATTTCTAATTTGTTTATTGACTTACTATATTTTCTTGAAAGATTATTCAATTAACAATAGCTCATTAAGTGCTTAATTGGAGTTACAGTGAACAACAACGTTTAAAAATCCCCATTCGAAAAATAACCTGGACATGAACAGACTCGTATGTGTGCCCATGTTCCTAGCAACATTATGCATAATAACAAAAAGAGGGGAGCAACCCAAATGACTATCAATGGATAAATGGATAAACAAACTGTGATACCTACACAATCCTAAAGAATAATGAATAATCAGCAAAACACTATAAACACAAGGATCTGGAGTACATGATGATGAATGAAATAAGTCAATCACAAAAGAAAAAAATACTGTTTAAGACTACTATTATAAATAATCATAGGGAGAAACATTCTTTGATGGTACCTAAGGATGAGAGGAAATGGGAGAATAAATAGCTTACTAGTTGGGAGGCATATACTACTTGGGTGAAGGGAAAGGCGATGTACAATAAAGGTAAGGTCAACACAACATGACTGAAGCAAAGGGAGACACTGCGAGGTGCATAAGCGTAAAAGACAACAAAGTAAGTAAGTCTGATTACAAACACAATTCTGCAGTAATAACAAATACTATCTATGTGTAGGTACATAGGTAATCATGTAAGCTGACGTTGGAAGGCAAAGGGAGTAGAGACATAGGTTTGGAAGAGGATGTTTCTACAGATGTATTCATATGTGCTGCAACTATATCCAAGCATATATTTGGGGTAAAAGTTTGAAAATTTCTTACCCACAACCACACACCTCTGTTGAATAACAACATCAGGGACAAATGTAGTTCTGAGGACAAAGCAACCAGGTGAGACTCAAAGAGCAGCTTTTTCTGGGGGTGGGGGCGGGGGGCGCACAGGCAGCCAGAAGAGGTGGGAAAGGACAATTAGAAATGGGCAGCCCAGGGAAGGAGTGGGAAGAGTGCTGTTACACTGAGGGGCTGTAGCCATTGCCACAAAACAAAATGTGTATATACTGTTGACTAGAAAGTAATGTGTTCTGTAAACGTTAAGTTAAACCACAATGAAAACTTAAAATAAATAAAAAGAATATAAAGTCAAAGGGGTTGGAGAAGAAGATGTCTCAGCAAAAAGAGCAGAGGACACAGCTGCTGGTTGGAGGTGAAAACAGCAGGGAGGAGTTAAAACCGATGAGGGTTCGAATCTGGCTGCCAGAGAGAATGGCAGAGCCATGAAGCAGCATAATCGAGAGGAGGAAAAGGGATGAAAAAGATGATGAGTTCAATTTTGAACATTTTTTTGTTTAAAATATAAAGCACATTCAAGTCAATTTCAAGAGAGAGACATTATTCAGCAACATACCATGTCTTATTTCAGCAGAGATGATTAAAAAAGGGAATATAAGAGTGAATAGTACTGAAAATACTTACTTAATGCCTACTCTTTAATTCTTCTAACTGTGTATTGCCTATGAGAAAAATTGACGTCTAAGCTGGCCAGTATGATTCAATATACTTGTAAAAGGCTGCATTAGAAAGAAAGGCACCCTGGTAGCACTGTGGGTTAAGCATTGGGATGCTAACTGTGAGGTCAGTTGTTCAATGCCATCTGCCCTTCAAG